ACACACACACACACACACACACATAAATATAAATATACACAAGATATATATAAAAATATCTTGGTTATATGATAATCCTTAAAATAATAATTATTCTCAAAGTAATTATAATGCTAATAACAAAATGCAATGATTTAATAGTATTAGCAGTAATAATAATAATCATCATCATCATTATTATTATTATTACTACTACTTTACTGATATTGTAAATTGATGAAATTATGGCAGAAATATATTAATATTTTTTAGTAAAATGTACTTTTAAAAGTAATAATAATATTCATAATAATAACACAATGTAATGTTTTAAAATTATTATTATTACTTCGAAAAGTAAATTTTATTATACAATAGTAATACGTTTCTGTCATCATTTCTATCATAAATTTAAAAAAATAAAAATAATTCTTCTTTATTGCCCAGCCCTAGTGGTTTCTACAGTAGATGCTTCTGCTTGTTTTACAATATGTGGACAGCACCCATTTTTTCTTTGTACAATGACCGAAACTCAAAATGTGATTATGAAACTCAAAATATGATAATGATTATTTCCCAAAAAGTGTGGGTGGTGACATTTCTAAACGTGTTATAATGGTTGCTGCGTTCTTGCCAACCCTAAATCTAATCCTAACGTACTCAAAAATAAAAATAATTCTTCTTTATTGCCCAGCCCTAGTGGTTTCTACAGTAGATGCTTCTGCTTGTTTTACAATATGTGGACAGCACCCATTTTTTCTTTGTACAATGACCGAAACTCAAAATGTGATTATGAAACTCAAAATATGATAATGATTATTTCCCAAAAAGTGTGGGTGGTGACATTTCTAAACGTGTTATAATGGTTGCTGCGTTCTTGCCAACCCTAAATCTAATCCTAACGTACTCCTAGGCTAATAAGAATGTTGTTCAAGCCCCTAAATCCAGTGCCAACCCGAACGCTGCTCCAGAAGCAACAAGGATGCTGATCGAGGAACATGTGTCTGTCTGAAGCGCTACCTTCCAGAGCAGCACCGCCAGCAGCAGGAAGATGAGGATTCCCACGAGGAGGCTGATGGCGATGATCCATCCCACAACGTAACCCCTGGGCTCCTGACTGTGAAGGGCCTCAAACACCAGCTGCAGGACAACACAGAGAGAGTGAACATACACACGCCAGACGGGACACGACATTCACATTAGAGATCGTCATTTCTCAGTAGGACCAAAGATCAGACTTTACAGACTATATGAATCACCGTGTCATTTCCTGAATTTTATAATGTCTGTGCTGAGTCTACAGTATATTGGGTGTTGACTCAATCAAAAGGAAATTAGATTTCATTCTTAAAGTCAACAAATCAGTCAAACACATGTCTTGTGAAGGTTTTCATTAATCCAGATCATCACAGAATGCCAGGAAGAGTTCATTTGTTTAAAGCTGCAGTCTGTAAGTTTTGCCTCTTTGTCGCCATCTCTGTTTGAAAACCTGCAATTGCAGCTATTTGCGGGATTATCTTCCTTGCGTGGGGTGTGCACCGGCACGGCTCCAGCGTGGATGAATCTAATGTGTGGCTGTCAGTCACCGCACCGGTGTGGAGACTGCACTTTGTATTCGCAGATTCTACATCTTGAAAGTATGACCCAAATAAGAGTTTTCACTGGAGAATGTCATCTGAACAAGTAAGTAACAACTGCTACTTTTGTTCTGATCAACTGAGGAAAAAAGCATTGCTCTTTCAAGATGTGATGACCTGACGGGTCACATTCTCCGCTCACACTGACTTTGCAAGAGCTGAACTGCTGTCCAACAGGAACCATCTCAGGCATGTGATTTGTACTGAAAAGACAAAGTGAACATGACAAGCAAACAACCTCATCTGGAAGTCTGTGTGTTTTGGACCAATGAGGACGGATATCTTGAAGGAAGTCTGATGTGTATTTGCGGGTTTCAGCATTTTCTGTTGGTTCTGGAATAATGTTTCTATCATCCTTAAACACGACTTTAATCTTAAAATCAGTGAGAAATGACAGGTTGATCATGTCGTTCAAGCTCATGATCTCAATCCTCAAGGCATTAGGAATGATCTGAAAAGTGTGTGGTGTATATTATAAACCTTCTCAGCTGAGATCATGAATATTAATTAGGTGTCATATAGCAGTTAAGTGTGTGGTAACAGTAGCACATTACCGTTTACCAGGTTCAGTCATATGCTGAAGTGAGTGGTTAGTAGGGCTGGGCAATATGGCCCAAAATATTATTATTATTATTTTTCATATCATATGATATTGATGTTTAAACAAATTTAAATATGTCATTAATGGGGAAGGAAATGCTTTCCACATGCTTGTTAGACCTCAAGAATTAATGTAAAAACTTGTTTGTTTACAACTAAACGCCACAGAGCAGCTACATTTATTTACATTGTTATTTCCCACCTAATTCTGTTAGATTTTTTTTTCTGGATTCTGTAATTCATCATTTAAAGCAAATGTATTATCTGAAATAAATTCCTAATTTTTATTTATTTTATTTTTTTTCAAGAAATGTTACATTTACAAATCTAATCAACTGAAAATATATCAATACATTTACAACAAACCATTGCATTTTTTATTTTTGCTCAAATATGGTGTTTTGTGCAACTGAACTAATATTTAAATTTATATATATATATATATATATATATATATATATATGAGCAATATCACTAAAAATATTTATACATCCTCTAAATTTACATTACTCAAGATGTTAGGTGTAATTGATGCCTGGAGTTATCATACCACTTAAGAACATGCGAAATGTAAAGTGAATATGGTGCTTTTCATTGTATCAAAAACACTGGCTCTTGAGCTTTAGTGCTTCCCAGAACAGAGAAAGTCACACAGATTCGGAGCGACATAGGAGTGAGTAAATGATGTCATTTTTGGGTGAACTATCCCTTTGTGAAGTTGGAGCCAATGGACGGGTGAGAGTCAGATAACTAGTGGGATGGGCGACACAGATAGCGCTACTGTAAAGAAGAGCGTCAGCGCAGGAAACGTGCTGTTCCTCTTCCTGTGACTCGACAGGTTTGTCTTTGTTTGAATGCGGTTTATTGATTCAGACCCCAGCTCTCTCCAGGCATTTCCTGACGCTAGAGTAGCTGGACATGTGCAGCTCTTGTTGAGGAGGTTTATTTTGGCAGATCTGGGATTTTGGGGGGGAAAGTATCCCTACACCAACATTCCAGGATTTGCTCTAGTATTCCCGCTGGAAAGTAATGGAGTGGAAAAGAAAAAGAAGGACCTGTTTGAGAAGCCTTGAAATCAGTTCGGTTCACTTTTATGTGTACGTGTAAATTATTGTCAGCGCTGTGTTTGGTTACTTTACGATCGCTCTAAAACTCTCTATTGACCCCCCGGGCCAAGAAAAACAACAGTAGTGTGTGAATGAGGGACGTGTGACCCTCTGAAAGTCTAGTTGAGGAAATATCTTTCAAAACTGACACACATCCGCTTCACTGTGCCTTTTTTGGCAGAGGATATTAAAAGCAGCCTGATGCTAATTTAACTGTAATGGGACGCTGCACATGAGCAGGTGGTTCTGCTCTTTCAAGATGTGATGACCTGACGGGTCACATTCTCCGCTCACACTGACTTTGCAAGAGCTGAACTGCTGTCCAACAGGAACCATCTCAGGCATGTGATTTGTACTGAAAAGACAAAGTGAACATGACAAGCAAACAACCTCATCTGGAAGTCTGTGTGTTTTGGACCAATGAGGACGGATATCTTGAAGGAAGTCTGATGTGTATTTGCGGGTTTCAGCATTTTCTGTTGGTTCTGGAATAATGTTTCTATCATCCTTAAACACGACTTTAATCTTAAAATCAGTGAGAAATGACAGGTTGATCATGTCGTTCAAGCTCATGATCTCAATCCTCAAGGCATTAGGAATGATCTGAAAAGTGTGTGGTGCATATTATAAACCTTCTCAGCTGAGATCATGAATATTAATTAGGTGTCATATAGCAGTTAAGTGTGTGGTAACAGTAGCACATTACCGTTTACCAGGTTCAGTCATATGCTGAAGTGAGTGGTTAGTAGGGCTGGGCAATATGGCCCAAAATATTATTATTATTATTTTTCATATCATATGATATTGATGTTTAAACAAATTTAAATATGTCATTAATGGGGAAGGAAATGCTTTCCACATGCTTGTTAGACCTCAAGAATTAATGTAAAAACTTGTTTGTTTACAACTAAACTCCACAGAGCAGCTACATTTAATTACATTGTTATTTCCCACCTAATTCTGTTTGATTTTTTTTTCTGGATTCTGTAATTCATCATTTAAAGCAAATGTATTATCTGAAATAAATTCCTAATTTTTATTTATTTTATTTTTTTTCAAGAAATGTTACATTTACAAATCTAATCAACTGAAAATATATCAATACATTTACAACAAACCATTGCATTTTTTATTTTTGCTCAAATATGGTGTTTTGTGCAACTGAACTAATATTTAAATTTATATATATATATATATATATATATATATATATATGAGCAATATCACTATGAATCTAATGTGTGGCTGTCAGTCACCGCACCGGTGTGGAGACTGCACTTTGTATTCGCAGATTCTACATCTTGAAAGTATGACCCAAATAAGAGTTTTCACTGGAGAATGTCATCTGAACAAGTAACAACTGCCCCTTTTGTTCTGATCAACTGAGGAAAAAAGCATTACAATAAATTGCGCTATCAGTGGTGATTAAATCTAACGATCGGTTAGCTCATATCACATCAAGCCGTGCCAATTATTATTATTGTTATACTGTTTTCAAATTCAATCTGCCATTTATTCCAGCTGCTGTGAGAAAAGGCTATAAACGATCCGTCACCTGCAGCATCCTCACGTTTGATAGCATACTAGCTGGGACAACTTCTTAATGTTTACAGACATGACGTAATGACGCAGCGCCATGCTCAAATTTCCCGCGAAAACCTACCCATACCACTCAAATTAGAAAACTTTATTACAAGCTTATCGTTGTGAATCGAGCAAAAGGCGATAGTTTTGAACACTAGCTGGTTATGTACTTGCTCAAATATTGATTTTGGATAATTTTTAAACAAAAAAGTTACGGACTGCAGCTTTAAGGTCTGGTTTAAATGAATGACTATTTTTGGATGAACTTTCCCTCTGAATAACGGACATACACACAGTTTTATGCACAATATGTGTTATATGGCACACGCGCTTGCTGATCCTTAAATGTGGAAGAATTTCACCTCTGAAACCACAAAAACACAGCAAACAGTTCCCTCAATGGATCTGGATGTAAATGTTGCATGAAAAGCTAGCAGTAAATCCCAGTCTGGAGCGAGATGCCAGCCCAGATAAATCTCGCTTCAGCTTCTGGCCACAATTTTACTACTTGAATACGAGGGCCGACATAAAAAAACAAAAACCTGCCATTTGTGGCCCCCAGTCAAGTAAAATCACAAACGGAAGATAATGTGACTTTGATACAGTAATGAGATAAAAATAAGTTTAGAAGAGATCTTAATCTGAAACTGCTCAGTTGCCAAAATACCAGTATAATTTCAGTTTTATTTACTATTATAGTATTTAATAAGATTTTTTTTTGCTATTACATTTTTTATATATTTTAGTTTAAATGTAGTAATTTTGTTATATACTTTTGTTTTCATTAGTTTTTTGGAATTTTTTAACATTTCTATTTAGCTATTTTTTAAATTTGTTTTAGTTTTATTCATTTTAGTACTTAAACCTAAACTTATTTTATTTCAGATAGACAACATTTTATTTTTTTTATTTTTTAATATTTACATTTTATTTCAGCTTTATTTAAATTAACAAAATGTTACTTTTAATAGTTTTAGTCTGAGTTACAAATAAAAACAATGCAATATACTAACTTCAGCAATGAAAACTCAAAAAGTTCAGCATGAATTTAAATATTTTTCACCAAATTCTTTTAATATCAAATGATCTGAGTTCTATACTCTTACTGTATGACAACTAATCATACTTTTAGCCTCTTTTATGTGCAGCATATTTTTTTATAGCCTTTTAGGAACATCTGAGGTGAAATCCATAGTTAAACCAATCACATCCTCAGCTATAAAAGAACAATAATATCTTCCTCTGCATGTCATCTTTGGGATAAACATTAATACATGCAATTTTTTATTAGTTTTTGGGGTTCTTTAACATTTCTATTTATTTAGCTTTCATTTATTTTTATTGGTTTTACTTTTATTAATTTTAGTACTTAAGCCTAAACCTATCTTCTTTCAGTTAGTTGCCAAGGCAAAATGTTCTTTTAAGTTTGATTTTTAATTGTTTTAGTTTTAGTTAAAAAATAAAAACAATGCAAGATACTAACGTCAGCAATGAAAACTATAAAAGAGCAATAATATCTTGCTCTGCATGCCGTCTTTATATGATCAGACTTACTTTTATTCTTGCCTAACAATGGAAACTAAAGTGTAAGATATAAATATTGCACTAAATATATCTCAAGCATTTGTTGAGTTCAGCTGACTAAAATAATGATACAGCAGCATATAAAGGTTTAATGCTCACAGTTGGTCTGTCATTTCCAATTAGTTCAGATGGCTGTGAACATGACAGAAATGATACAGTTGAAACACGCTACAAGACTGTGCGGTATTAATGCTTATACGCGGGCAATGCCATTTGTAAATGAGAGTTGCATGTCCACCATTTGCCCCAGGGAGCGTCGTGTGTGACTTAATAACGGATTGCTTTGGGACCAATGCATTTCCTAAGTGCTGAGGGCAGAAGGGGGCACAGACACTTTTAACAGCCCTATTAGGAATTGGCCTCTATGCTACAAATAGGGGGCTAAAAGTGGGTCAGAAACCCAATCAGCTGAGAGCAGGGCTGAGCGAGTACCATGGCACCAGACACCGAAACACAGTCCCATATTCCTCCAATCAATCGGCACGCCGAGGTCTGCGGTATTAGGGGTGACTGTTCTCAAGCACAGCTGTAGAGTAAAAAAAAGCCCCCTGCTCCCACATGAACAGCAAACCCCACCCAGATCTCAGCAGCTACTAAGAGCGGATGAGCTCAGAATCATGCGAACAGACAATTTCATTTTCTTCCGTGCATCAGGGGTCCTGATTGCTTTCAAAGACAATAATCTATTCACTTTCAATCTTACAATGAAAACCACCAGCATGTCAGAAGTCTCTGAAGCTCTGATTCTAGTTTACAGTCACGGTACAAATATGCTTGGCAAGAAATGCTTGACTGTTGGATTGGATTATTTATCCGCTTAAATCACTTACAGAAATCTCCTCTGGAAGTCCGGTTGAGACCTCCACGGCCCTGTCGTCCAGCTGGACGTGACCTCGTGTCACAAACTGGATCACAGAGGAGCTGTCCTGCAAACCACACACCAAGACAGACCAGAGTTATTATACTTAAAACTAAAACTGAAATTAAAATAATTTAAAAAACAACAACAAAAAACTTTTTTATTTCAGCTAGCTGCCAAGGCAACATTTCTCATTTTATTTTAGTTTAACTTAATGTACTAAAATACCTCAAACTAAAACTTAAATAACAATGACTAAAAACTATATCGACTTCTAACAAAAAAAATAAAAATAAATAAAAACTACTAAAAATGATAAAAACACACACAAAAAAACAAAATGACTAAAACTTTAACTAAAATTAAAATGAAAACGGAAAAAAATTTAAATTAAAAACTATTATACTATCTCATTGATAATAAAATAACACTGAGACAGACACATTTACACAATTAAGCAGTGTTATTTTTGTATTATTTATATTCTATTACAGTATTTATTAATATGTTCAATTAGCTTTTATTATTATATTTTCAGTTTTAATTTTAGTTTAAGTTTTAGTAATTTTGTTAAGTGCTCCTGTAATTTAAAAAAATATTTCTATTTAGTTTATTTTCGTTTAAGCAATTTTAGTACTTCAACTTATTTCAGTTCGGGCAACATATCTATTTTTTAGGTTTTTAAAGTTTCAATTTCAGTTTTTAAATTTTGTTTAGTTTTATCATCTAATATTTATATTTTATTTATTTCAGCTTTATTTTAAATGTTGTAAAATAATGTTTAATAGTTTTAACTAACAATAACAACACTAAATGTAAATTAGACATTGCTCAAGTGTTTCCATTACTACTGAGTGGCATTTTATGACAAAATATTTGTAGCAAAATATCTTGTTAATACTGTTGTTTATCACTTTTTGATTATGTTATAAAAATAAGGGTGTTTTTTGTTTGGTTTATTAGTTAAATTGAGTGTAAATTCATATGTTGAAATATGACTGATCTGTCACACTAAATGAGATCTTCATGGGATATTTCATCAACTTCTTTTTGTCAGTAGCTTGTCATGTAGCCAGATACTTCTTATCTAAATAGAGGTTACCAGTTTGCATTTACTGCTGCCAATTTAGATACAGCTGATAATTTAGTTAGCTAATTAGTTTTAGCTATAACTAAGGTTAGCCTGACATTATTTTAACTAGTTTAATAGCTTGTAGCCTCAATTCTACAACATTTAAAGTCTTAATCACACACTCTGAAGACTGGCATTGACATTACAATAACTTCTTACTTAATTACGGCAATAACTCACCCTCTGTAGTATTTCAGTGTTTAGTAGCATTCGCACATCTATACTCGTGGCTTCTTCTTTAGCCTGAGAGCTCAGACTGCAGGAAATAGTTAGACACGCTCTGCCAGGCCGGTCACAGTCCTGTTGACACAGGATACCATCAAAGATTTACCCGTTCAGCACAAAAACTGATGTGAAATGAGGTTTTTATGAGTGTTTTATGGGGCATTAAATGCTGTGATCCACTGCTCTAATGTATATGCACTGACAAAAAGTCCGGACAAACAACATTAAATATGCAAATATGGCTTATTTCCAAGTGCTAAATGCATTTGGATGCCATTTCTTCTCTGAACTATGCCAATATGCCCAAAAAGTCCTTTGTCATACCAGAACTTTTCTGCCAGATTTGGTGAAGAAAGCAAAAATGGTGTGGAAGATGCTCTCCTTGTCCTGTGGGATTGTGCAGGGTTTGGGGTTCCTGTGCCACGTGCAGTTCCCTCGACCTTCTGATACCTGCAGACAAACAGAAAGTACGAAAATGAGCAAATCTCACAGTTCCCTCTCAGCAAAATAGCACCAGATTATTTATTATATATTTGCTGTTTTCATTTTAATTTCAGTTAAAAGTTTTAAGAATTTTGTTGTGTGTTTTTGTCATTTTTAATTTCAGTTTTATTTTAGTACATCAAGCTAAACTAAATCAAAATGAGAATGTTGCCTTGGTAACTAGCTAGCTAAACTGTTTTTTTGTTTTGTTTTTTTTGAGTATTGGAGAAATAATGCTAATCAGTTTCAAGAACTACAATTATTACTCATTCCATTTCAGTATTCTTTATTTTCAACAACAGCAAATTAAGAAGTTGGCAATGATTAACAATCACATGCAAAGAGAGGGAAATCTGATTTTCCCAGCATACTTTGATACAGACTGTATAATGGAATAAATGTTGACATTAAGTGTTATTTTCGGTTTTGTAATTATATGCATGTGCGCTAATAGTTATCCTGCTACAGCTGCTTTATGGCAGAATTTTGGATTTGCCTCATTTTTAAAGTTTGCATCATTGATTTTACTTTCCTGTTTGATAGTGTCAAGCTGCTTTGAAACAATCTGTATCGTAAAGTGCTATAAAAATAAAGGTGAATCGACTTTAATAGTTAGCTGCTATTGTAGGTGAATTCAAATTAATATTGATTCATAAATATTGATTTTCAATGGGCTTACTCAAATATTTGAGTTGCCTTAAAGGAACACTTCACTATTTTTGAAAATAGGCTCATTTTCCAACTCTCCTAGAGTTAAACAGTTGAGTTTTACCGTTTTAGAATCCATTCAGCCGATCTCCGGGTCTGGCGGTAGCACTTTTAGCTGAGCTTAGCATAGATAATTGAACTTTAACTTGAGTCTACTGAATTTAATTAGTCACGGTACAAGTTATGCAAATCTACTTACATTTTTCACTTACTCAGTTCATAACTGATACTTTTGATTATGACTCAATATGACTTAATGACTCAATTTGTTAAGTGTAAAAATGTTTCACTAAAAACATTGAGTACATGATAGTTCAAGTTTTCAGAGTGCTGGATTACTGGAAGGCGAGACATTATAATTTATCCAGTGAGCTCAGACCTGCTAAGCAATTCAGATAACGAAAGGAAGTTCTTTCCCAGCGGGAGTTGGGAAGCCTTTCTCTGACAGCATGTCCCATCTGGAGTGATTTAATGTCCCGCTGCCCCTTCCTCCCCTCTGCCCCCGGGGAACACTTCACCTCTTCCTTTAACCAGCATCCTTTCCAGTCAGACCTCCATAGAGGAAAGCATCTGAAGACCTCACATTGTCTTCTCTCAAGTCAAGGGAAGGATCTCTGCCTGCTTCACACAGGTTTTTACGAGCCCACTTGTTCTCCATTCTGTCACCGATGGAGTTTTGGTTCCTTGCCGCTGTCGCCTCTGGCTTGCTTAGTTGGGGACACTTCATTTCCAGCGATATCGTCGCCTTGATTGCACAGATACTATGATACTATGAACTGAGCTGAATGAAGACATCACTGAATTCAATGATGAACTGTCTTTAACTGGAAAATTAGTGTTTACTATTGTCATTTTGCATTATTGACACACTATTTTCCTAATTAATGCTGTTCAGTTGCTTTGACACAATCTGTATTGTTAAAAGCGCTATATAAATAAAGGTGACTTGACTTGACTTGACTTGTGTGAGACAACAGTGTGTCATTCATGAGCTGATTTCACTACAGTACTGTTTCAAAATCTAGTGACTTGCTTCCCTAGACAGTGTTTTAAGAAATATAAAACCCAGGCTCATTGAAAAAAAAAAACATTTCTGCTGAATTATATTACGTTATTTCTTGAACATTTTGCAATACTTTCATGTGAAATGTCTGGGGAGTGGCACTTAAATCGCTTTCAGTTTTTCCCGGAAACAGATGAATATGAATCTGACAATGTAAGTGTAATGCTGTACCAGGTGAGCTACTGAGCAAGTTTACTATGTCAGAAAAACCATACATGGTGCTGGTTATGTGATGCAAACCTCCGAATGTATTAGTTTACAAATCATGCACTACGGTAAAAGCGTTTTGAGGTGGTAATAGTATTGTGCAAGGAACCATACAAAAATAAGTATTTAATAATCGATAATCTGCACCTGTATTCATAATTTGTGTGAAAAGGAATAAAAGTAGTTGGTCTTTTACTGCCACTAGTGTTCATTTCAGCTGGAAATTGCATTGGATTGTATATGTATATATATGTTTTTTGTAGTTTTGCAAAAATGTAGGTAGAGGCGTGTTTTCCAAAATGCGTGTTTTTACGCTGTTCCAGACAGTAAGCTTTAAAATCAGGCCAGAAACGTACACTACACAAGTATGTGCATGCAAACATTAGCAACACACGCTAAAATTACTCTCATTTTGTTCAGAAAGATATCAGTTTAAAGACAATCTTGCTGAGCATGTTATGTAAAGTCAACATATTTATAACTACCAACCTGAATACTAATAGACCAGAATTAAATGACATTTGAAGGTAGTTCTATTGCCTCATTGAGTATAAACTGAAGCTTGTTACCGCCACAGTAATGCAAGAATGCATATTAAGTATGTTCAACACACCTGTATACTTGCCAAGCATTCACTTTTACATTTGAGTACTTACTTGTGTTAATAAAATAGGCCCTTTGTTGGTTTTAAGAGTCAAATTAACCCAAATTATAAAATAATTATTACATATTTTAGTCTATGCTACAATAAAGGTTTTCTGTTTTTTACCTGACCCTGTGCTCATTTTTGGCGAATTGCTTGGCAACCAGTGGGGGTCAATTTGATCATGGGCACAAAATTGGTACAGTCTTTCCAAAACACATTTATGTGTCGAAACTTTGCATGCACATTCATGACCCTAAATTAGAAAATGTCACCAAATTTCAAGAAGAAATACTTAGTTTAAACAGTGTTTCAAGCTGTTTAAATGTGGGTCAAATTGACCCAAACACAAAACGAGGGTCAAAGTATTGTTGGAAGGCAGCTCACTAGGTTTTTTAACAAAGCTGATGTCATGTAACCCTCTCTAATTTAAGACATCTCATCAGCATCGAGGGACCAGCCTAAGCTGTTTATGTAAAAATGCCCCATATGTTTTCAGTCATTTGAGGAGAGGAATTCCTCCACGTGTGCATTTTTAATTAGGCCGAGTGTTTATGCTGTCCATGTGGGCGCCTGGGAACGTCTGCTCCTCCTTGAGTTGAGTTACCCGGCATTGCCACTGTGCTGCAGGTTAGTCAGGGTGAACAGAAGCTTTCCCCCAAGTGTCCCATTCCACCCTTTCGTGCAAACCAGTTAATCCTCTCGTAAGTGATTCCATATGGGACGTACAGGGTGGGATACAAACCTCCCCTGTCCTCCCATTCACAGTAAACAGGTTGATCCCTGGCCTGATCTAGCAATATGGCCAATGCAAGGGTTACATCAACATTGTATGCGGTGCTTGTCTTGAATTTCTGCCCTCTGTATAAGCTTATTGTGAGGCACTATCTGCGGCAGCTCCGTAAACCCCGTCTCTCACCTCTGAATTAAATATAAGCCTGAGGTTGTGGACATCACTAAACTCTCGCTGTATGAGAACAGAACATAATCAACACGCTGCCCTCGTTTCTAATGATACAATATAGATAAAGCCTAGCTCTGTATATTTAGCTTCAAAACATGCAATTGTGGCATTTATAAAGTACTTTAAATAACGTAACCTTATACTTAACCTTAAGTAGAAGCAATGTTTTAAAGGTAACATAAGTAAGACACAATTGACAATGGACTATAAAATCACTGAACATTTAATGCATGTAATATAGGCATAATGTGAAGCCTTACATTTTTAATAATGCACCAACCTAGCATCAATTATTCCACTTATACCATGATATCAAGACATTTTCAAAGTTTTGTCGCTAAAATGCTCCTATAAAGTACTTACTTACTCTGACAATTAACCCTCAGCAAGCCTGCGGCACTATTTTGAATGTGTATGTTTGGAAATGACATAGCAAAATTATATATGTAAGGAATAATTGATGACAGGGCTGTGAAATTATTGCAAACCAACGCACCCTAAGGTTGCAATGCAGCAATGATGCAATTTGTGGTAATTTTCATTAATTCAAGCAGCTCGGTTCACAGTAAATGCCACATTAACTCAGCTCTGCACATACTGTGAGTTCGGGTTTAAAACATTTAAGTTTGCATTTGGCAACACAACATGTGCTAACATTCTAATGAGAAGTGGTAATAAACCTCCTGTTGTCAACAAAACAGAAGCTGCAGTTTTCAGCCAAAATAAAAGTTTGTTTCCTACATTAAAAAATAAATGTTTTAATGTAGGAAAATGAAGAAATTAAGACAGCCACAAATATGATTGTATTATTATATTATATTATTTTTCTTACATACTATTTTTTTTTACTTTACACCAAAATATTAACAGTAATATTTCTTATTTTTTTTATTTATAATAATAGTAATAATAATAATTATTATTATTATTTCATAGTCATATTTACAGTATATATAATAACAAAATTGTTGCCCAAAGTGTGCAGCCCTACTAACAAGCACAGCAAACCTGCTGCTTTAAAAATTCTATAAAAAGGAAAAAAAAATAATTAAAAAATGTAAAAGGTGAATTGATATGGAAATTATTCAAGCTCTCTAAGACTCAAAAACCAACAATGCTGTGGTGTAACGCAAAATAACACACAATAATACCTAAATAACACACAATAATACCTACCACGAACAGGTCAGAGAAACCACTTACAGCACAAAAAAGTGTGATGAGAATGGACAGCTGTATAACTGATGTGAGGTAAAACAATGCGAATGAAGTTTAGCTGAATAAACAAGTGCATGAGTGGCAGGAACTCACTTGTGTGTCAATGATATGGAACATATCTGCTCCGTTACCAGCTAGGCGGTTGGGTATCCTGATGTCCACCGTGGAGCCTGGAAGTCTGCTGGGTCCATTGTTTATCACCTACACAACCAACACATGGGAAATGGATCAACGCTGGGATTTACACTCAGCACAACAACTAACAGCTACTAGAGCAAACAGTACACTTCATATACATTTAAAGCACATTATAATACAGCTTGGTTCTGGATTGGTCAAATGTGGTCAGATATCGGTCCTTTTGTCTTGCTTAGTTAGAGACACTGAATATTTGGCAATATTACTGACTTTACCCAGACACTATTAGATGAGAACTGAATTGAGCTGAATTATGATGTCACTGTTTCCCTAGAGCTGCTTAATAGATTAATTGAACTCATTCCATAATTGATGAACTTTACACAGTTATTGAATCAAACTGATTGAACAAAGAACTGATTTCAGCTGAATAATGGCTGTTTACTGTTGTCATTTTAGAGCTGCTTTAAAGCAGAACTGATCTCTTTGCATCACTGAATCATTATTTTCTTGTTTATCACTGTAAAGCTGCTTTGAAACAATCTGTATTGTATAAAGTGCTATATAAATAAAGGTAACCTGACTTGACAATGAATTATTAAAAATGTATGTAATACAGGCATAATGTGAAGCCTTTCAATATTGCAATAATGAAACATTTTCAATAATATTACAATCCAGTACCAATTATTCAGCTTATACCATGATTACTACTTGTTTACATCAAGACATTTCCCAAGTTTTTTTTTTTGTCTCTAAAGCAATTCCTAAAAGTATTTACTTATGCCCCCAATTAAGCCTCAATAATCCTGAAGTATTCTATAATTTAGAGCAGGTTTATTATGGTATAAAAAAATAAAAAAAATAACCAAAATAAAATATATAAAAGAACTTAAACTTATTTTATTTCAACTAGTTGACAAGGCAACAGTCCTCATTTTCATTTATTTTAACTTAAAGTGCTAAAATAACTAAAACTGAAATACAATTTAATAAAACCTATGTAGACATATTGTAGAAAACTAAGAAAAAATAAATAAAAACAGACAATATATAAATAAAAACTCATTCACAATATTAATAAACACTATAGTAGTATATCAATGATACTAAAACAGCACTGGTGCCAAGGTAATACAACACAAAGTATAGAAATGTACATCAAATTAAAATAAATAAATAAATAAAATATGAAACACTTTGGAAATGCATCATCACAGACTGTGAAAAGGTCCATCATATAATTAACTATTTTACCAAGCAATTGATCCCCTGATATTGCTAGTGCTCATAAACAAACAAACAAACAAACAAACAAACAAACAAATAAGACACCCTGTCAGGGTTTAATAACCAGCTAACTGTACTAACTTACAGATTCTGCAATGAAATGTACTGGAAAAACTTCACATGTATTTGAACATATTCCAGTATGGGATACCTGAAAGGTGAAGTTGAGCGGCTGAAAGCTGCACTCCATGTCGTCCAGCTGAACGAAGCGTGATCGGTCCACTGAGTTTCCATACACAAAAGACGTAGGCGAGACCACGCTGCAGAAACGGACTCACAGTTACTATGGTGATGCTTCTTTGTGCTATATTGTTCTGTCTCTCATTTAACGTGATTCATTTGATGGTATCTTTGATGTATAATATAGTGTACATGGGCTGCTGTCAGCATTATTTTATTTTAGTAAAACATTGCAGCTTTTATAGCTCAAACTCTTGGAAACTTGTCCATGCCAGTAGAGTGTTGCATATTTTTGTCTATATGTACTAAATACAATCTTTATATTCATATACTGATTACAGAAACCTTCTAATACATCTGAAGTTAACTTGTTAAATGACATAAAAACAGACTTTGATCTGATTTTATGTCCAACCCCTGGAGATCATGTTTATATTTTAAAGTGTAATCTCTGGCGCGCTCATGTCAAACATTACAGGGAGCACGTTCTCTTTATCAGGCTGTACATCTGGCTATAGAACATGTTGTGTATTTAAGCCTCATTCATCTGTGACACAAGTGAGCCTGTAACTTTGAAATATTCCAGCGCAGCAAAGAAACGTGTGCCAAAAAAGAAATGTGCACATAAGCACTGTGAGCGGACCACAAATGTCTCTGCTGTTATCAGACGTCTGGAAGCGTAATGGGCTACAAAGCTGTTACAGGAATAGTTCACAAAAAATGAAAAGAAAACTCATAATGTACTTTCCCTCATGTTAAAAACCTGTATGAACTGATTTTTCTATGGAAAAATTAAAGAAGATGTTGGGAACAAAGTTCACGCTGGACTTATGCATTCAAAGAAAGTGCATGTTTTTGATCATCAGCCTTCAGAATATATGTGGAACATAGTGCACAAGTCAGACTACTTTTAAGGTCTGTTTTTGTAGTTTGACGACATTCAATTCACAGGTTTTGAACAACATGAGGGTGAATAAATAATGATACATTTTAGGTTGGATGTTTCCTTTAAGCCGTCTCATGAAGTGCAATTCTTACCCTGTGATTGCTGTGTCCACCTCATGTACCAGCGGTATGGACAACTCCAATGTGTTATCATGAAGTGTGCTATCATGTTCTGGATTGGCACTAAGAAAAAAATAAATACAAATAATAATAAATAATAACAACAAAAAAGAAAAAGTTTTTCAAATAATAATATAGTAAAACATATAAATCATTGAGCAAGGATGCATTAAATTGATCAAAAGTGACAGTAAAGAATTTATAATATTATAAAAGATTTCTATTTCAAATAACTTATATTATTCCATGGTCTGTCTGAATACTGGATTCTGATTGGCTGGCAGGTATGCAGTAAAACCGTTTAATGCACAGGTAGTTCCAAGTCAGTTTAATCACCGTTCTATATTAATGCACTGCTTTAATTGATGCACATAAATACACACACACACAGAGAGAGAGAGAGAGAGGTCAGAGATCGCTGAACACACACACATTGCGCTGCACACAAACTTGTTGTCAACGCTTCCCCGTGATTTTCATTAATAAAATAGCCTAGATACTAGATCACTACATTATATTCCTCAGCAACGAGGTGGCAAAATGGCTCGATAGCGCCACCTATACACTTTCAACAAAGTGCCCTTCAAGCTACGTTTCACGTACATGTAAAATTACACACATGTAATGTCCCAATACCAACAAAAAAGACTCTTTGAGCAAAATCGAAACTCAACAGGAAGTAAGTTATTTAGAATTTTCTCTGCAAATTTTGTGCCGTTTTTGCCATTTTCATGAGTTGTATTTTAACTCCTCCTCCTAGAGATTTAATCAGATCAACACCAAATTTGGTCAGTGTAATTTAAAGCCCTTTGTGATGTTAAAGTGCGAAGATCGTGAGTTTTTATTGAAGGGCGTGTCCGTGGCAGCCTGACAAATTTCGATGTTTCGCCATGAAACAGGAAGTTGCTGTAACTCAGGCATACAATGTCAGATCTGCCCCAAACTTCACACGTGTGATAAAAGTCCTGGACTAAAGACATCTAAAGGCCAATATCCAATTAGAATCATAGCGCAGCCTGCTGGCAACAGGAAATGACTTGTTACACTAACTTAAAACATGCAATGTCCGATTTGCCCCAAAATTCACATGTTTGATAAGAGCCCTGGCCTGACAACATCTACATGCCAAGATTCAGTTATAATTTTTAGCACCACCATAGCGCCACCTGTTGGCAACAGGGTATGTCATGTTTTACACTAACTCAAACATACCATGTCAATCTGCACCAAACTTCACATGTTTGATAAAAGTCCTGGCCTGAAGACATCTACATGCCAGTATTCAGTTATAGTCATAGCACCACCAGCTGGCAGCAGGAAGTTTGGCACATATAAATGACTTTGACATATTCCTCCTATATTTGCCACTTTACATGCATATAGACCACCTTTCACTGTTTTCCTAAGGCCACTGGGTGGAGGTGGCTCCGGGTCCGAGGACCCTTTCAACGCTGCTTGCAGCTTTAATGAGAGCTGTATTTGCCTCAGAGAGCTAAGAGATCTCTGAGCAAAGAAAACACATCTGGCCAGCATTAGATTAATATCATGACTTTAATATCAAGTCAAACCACTTAATTTCTCTCAAAATAGCCAAATAGGGAAAAGTCCAAATGTCTAATCTATCTAGTTATTTCAGATTTAAACATCACGACATTCACTAATGTGGACTGATGATGTGAACCATGTGTATTCTTAAACAAAGAAATAAAACTTGTATTTGAAATGAATTATATCAAGACCGTTCAAAGCTTACCTTCTAGCATGAACTAAAAATAGCAGCGTCTCATTTTCACCAGACAGATGACTTGTGTCGAAAAGCACCGATAGATGGTACTGAAAAAAAGAAAAGGTTAAAATTACAAGGGTAAATGGAATGGCACTATAATTAACAAGATCACCAAGTAAGTTGTTAAGCTGGTACTGTTGTCATACTACCTTGGTTTGCGCTCTCATGAAAGGAAATCCAATGCTGCACTTGAGGAAGTCCAGCTCTACCAGCATACAGGAAATGCCCTTCTCTTCCTGGAGCCCAAACAGACAGAGAAAACACCAAATGACAGTGAGAATAATCAGACAAAACCTTCACAAGCTGTACTATTTTGTCGAGACCCCAGCAGAAAGTCACCAACCCCAGTGTTTTCCTCAAGGTATGCTTAAAACATTACAAAAAAGAAAAAAAAAACATCCAAAAGAAACCCAAGAAATCACTGATTGCCATGCAAACATACAGAAGGCATGCAAATGGTTTACTACTGAGAATAAACTCCTGCAAGCTGGATTCAATATGCATTACACTTATGTTTAGATCTCCAATTTAGATCTCAGTCGGAGGTAAACTAAACAAATTTTTATTTTTATGTTTAGCTTTTTCTCTTGCAATTTCAAGCAGTGTACACACCTGTTGACTGTTCGGCTAGATTTCAAACAAGTTTGAAATTTGTTGCAGCATCTGCAATCAATTGGAACACAATTGTGCAAGTGTGCACACTAGAAGAGTCTTGTGAAAAACACATGCTACAAGATGCGTAGTGTGCATAAGGCTTTATGTAAATGTCTTAAGCCTGGTTTGACATATTCCTCCTATATTTGCCACTTTACATGCATATAGACCACCTTTCACTGTTTTCCTAAGGCCACTGGGTGGAGGTGGCTCCGGGTCCGAGGACCCTTTCAACGCTGCTTGCAGCTTTAATGAGAGCTGTATTTGCCTCAGAGAGCTAAGAGATCTCTGAGCAAAGAAAACACATCTGGCCAGCATTAGATTAATATCATGACTTTAATATCAAGTCAAACCACTTAATTTCTCTCAAAATAGCCAAATAGGGAAAAGTCCAAATGTCTAATCTATCTAGTTATTTCAGATTTAAACATCACGACATTCACTAATGTGGACTGATGATGTGAACCATGTGTATTCTTAAACAAAGAAATAAAACTTGTATTTGAAATGAATTATATCAAGACCGTTCAAAGCTTACCTTCTAGCATGAACTAAAAATAGCAGCGTCTCATTTTCACCAGACAGATGACTTGTGTCGAAAAGCACCGATAGATGGTACTGAAAAAAAGAAAAGGTTAAAATTACAAGGGTAAATGGAATGGCACTATAATTAACAAGATCACCAAGTAAGTTGTTAAGCTGGTACTGTTGTCATACTACCTTGGTTTGCGCTCTCATGAAAGGAAATCCAATGCTGCACTTGAGGAAGTCCAGCTCTACCAGCATACAGGAAATGCCCTTCTCTTCCTGGAGCCCAAACAGACAGAGAAAACACCAAATGACAGTGAGAATAATCAGACAAAACCTTCACAAGCTGTACTATTTTGTCGAGACCCCAGCAGAAAGTCACCAACCCCAGTGTTTTCCTCAAGGTATGCTTAAAACATTACAAAAAAGAAAAAAAAAACATCCAAAAGAAACCCAAGAAATCACTGATTGCCATGCAAACATACAGAAGGCATGCAAATGGTTTACTACTGAGAATAAACTCCTGCAAGCTGGATTCAATATGCATTACACTTATGTTTAGATCTCCAATTTAGATCTCAGTCGGAGGTAAACTAAACAAATTTTTATTTTTATGTTTAGCTTTTTCTCTTGCAATTTCAAGCAGTGTACACACCTGTTGACTGTTCGGCTAGATTTCAAACAAGTTTGAAATTTGTTGCAGCATCTGCAATCAATTGGAACACAATTGTGCAAGTGTGCACACTAGAAGAGTCTTGTGAAAAACACATGCTACAAGATGCGTAGTGTGCATAAGGCTTTATGTAAATGTCTTAAGCCTGGAATACACTACACGATTTTTGCCCCGTTTTTCCACTGATTTACTGTTGAAGTCTGGAGAAGTTGACGCTAGTTGCCAAAAATCAAAGCCAGTCTGCAGATTTGAGTTGACAGATATCATAGAAAATCGCATAGTGTATGATGGTCGCAGACTCCTATTTTTTATCTTCAGACTATCAGACACTATATAAATAAATGTGACTTGACTAACACATAAATAACTGTATTCTCACATGCGCTATACACTAGGAGAACAGTAACAGGGACAGTCGCCAGTGAGAGTTGAGAGTTTTCTTTAAACACAGCAGAGCAGCACCGGCTGGTTTGTGTAAACAGCTGAGATTCAACCCCGTGAGGAGTGAGCATTTCTCGGGCGAGAGTTCACGAAGCTGTCCTTTTACAGAGCCGAGAGCGTAAAAAACAGCCGAGCGCCTTCAGGAATCTATCAGGGCCACTGATAAACCAGACGGCCTCACGCTGCTGGAACAATGCAGAGGATGAGCGCTTAACTCTGGGATCTCGAGTTCCATGTGAGGTCCTGCACGTGTTGCCCATTCTTGAGTTTATACAGTGGGTACGGAAAGTATTCAGACCCCCTTAAATTTTTCACTCTTTGTTATATTGCAGCCATTTGCTAAAATCATTTAAGTTCATTTTTTTTCCTCATTAATGTACACACAGCACCCCATATTGACAGAAAAACACAGAATTGTTGACATTTTTGCAGATTTATTAAAAAAAAAGAAGCTATTCTTAGCAACACTGCAGCAATAACAAGAAGTGCTGCCGGAGAAAAAAAAACATCAATTAATAGTAAAAAGCAGCTGAGGGGGTGCAGGAAAGCTAGGTACTGTTTGCAAAATTCATTTTTCATGCACTTGGCGGCTCTCTGGGGAAGAGTTTGAGGCTTTGGCCTCACGTTCTGCACTCGTTTGGAGCGTTTACATGAACACCCTGGCTTCCTCAGATTTGAGTACTGCTAACATACAGCAGGGCACCTCGACTGGCAGCACTGCAGACTGAATGTGGCCCATTAATCATTTCCGAGTTCAAGAGCGCTCTGTGGTTGACAATTTGCCGTCTGAGGTCTATATCCACACCAGATCATGCATTTTTACACTTTCTGGCTGTAGTTCAGCTACCCAATTTCCCCAAAACATGATATTAGGCACAGCTATTTAAATGTGTCTGATACAATCAGATGTGCACTACTTTAAGTTTTTTTTTTAAAGAAATTTATATTTGTATTCAGCAAGGATGCATTAAATTGATCAAAAAATGAAGTAAACACAATTTTTATTTACATAACATGGGCCTTAAAAGTGGTGTAAGATCCCTCATGTATGATATGTGGCAAGAATCATTCAACATTATTTATACAGTCGTCTCCCTCTTGCTCAGCACTTTTTCCGCCGTCTGGCCCCAGTGAGGAGACGTACCCTTTGTCTTCATCAAATGGACTTAAATAAGCAACACTCTGACACAATGTCCTCTAAAGCACTAGCAGGAAAACCCAAGGACAGCTCGAGTTCATGAATGTCCTCTATTTCCTAAACCGCACAGTGTTCCCACGGAGGAGGGCAGGCAGCAGAGAAGTGCACGTGTTTACGTAAAAACAGTAATATTGTGAAATATTATTACAATTAAAATAACTTTTTCTATATGAATATATATTAAAATGCAATTTATTCCTGTAATCAAAGCTGAATTTTCAGCATCATTACTCCAGTCTTCAGTGTCACATGATCCTTTAGAAATCATTCTAATATGCTGATTTGCTGCTCGAGTATAATTTATTACTATGTTGAAAACAGTTGCGCTCTTCGTATTTTTGTGGAAACTGTATATACTACTGAGCTCAAACTTTTAAATGAGAAAATTTTTCACAAACGTTTAACGCCGTCTTCCTTTTCAGCATTACTGAACCATTTCAAACCATTTAAACATCTTTTGTTAAATATTTTGCACAGAAAGTGTGCTTGTACTATCCTTATCTATACTAATCAAATGCCACATTTCTAAATTTGCCCAGTATTTTGTCACTACTGTGTTGGTAATTGTATTCTGTCATGTACAGGAAGGAAAGAGGTGTTTTCATTCATCAATACTCTCTGCTCTGCGTGTTATTACACTGAAACATTAACAAATCTCAAATGATGTATGTATTGGCTGTGCGACTGTAAAATAAACTCTTGTATTTCATCTCCAGCCAGCTTGTTTCTCTCTCTCGGCCTCGTCTTTTAGTGCTTCAGTAACACTGAAATTAATTGAATTGCTTGCTCACCAATTTGAAGATCTTCGTTTCACCTGTCGCAATCTAATAGAAGGACAATATGCCGTTTATCTAATTACACTGCGTGTTTCTTTGCCAGAGGGGCCCCGGGGCCACCTAAACAGTGCGATAGAGCTTCTGAAACCAATTCACTGCTGCAGATGGTTTGGGTTGCAAGACAAACACAGAGTCAACAGGACCTAATATAAAACAAGAGGCGAGCACGAGTTCACACTCGGCATGATGGAGAGCTAAAGCGCTCTGAGGGAGACGGGTGAGGACGGGTCACATCAGCACAGACGACTTCTCGTGGCGTTGGGGTAATTAGAGGCATCCTGCTGCGTGTACAGTACTACAACAGCAAACAAAGTACGGCCCCTGTGTCTTCTCACAATACATTTCCACCTGGATGCCCGCATGCGTCCCATTCAACCGTCATGAGGAATTACTCACTGAAGAGAGAGGACGTGCCGCAAAAATTATACAATGAAATTTAAGACGCTAAAACAATGTTAAGAGCTCCATCTGTATCAAAACACACTGATATATAGAGTTAAGTCTGAGCGCTTGAAAAACAGACTACAGTATGTTTACGGCTGAAGATGACTGAATTCTTTCAGAAGGATTTTGGAATGCAAAAACAAATGGTCAAAATATTAAATACTCCATTAAGGCCAGACCAAAAGTAAACTTGAATTTTAAAATAAAAATGTAATTCAAAACCATAATTCAAAATGTAATTCAAATGTCATATGACTTTCTATCTTCTGTGGGGAAAAAAAAAAGTTTTTATATGTTAAAGTTATATGTTTGTTATATGCTTTTGTTTTTGCAAAAGGACAGCGCGATTTTTTTTTCTTTTTTAAAATGTATTTAAATAAATAAATATAATTATGCTATTTCATTCATAATAAATAAAATACATTAGATTTTTAAAAAAATTATTTTGTCAAGAACGAAAATCATGCTTGAAGGTAATTAAATGAAATTAAATAAATTATTTAAAAATTATTAATTATTAAAAAATTCACATTGGTTTGAAATGACATTCCTTTAAGTAAGTATTTTTGTCAGTTATTCATGGTACAATCTTGCATCTTTTCTGTGTCCCCCCCCCCCTAAAAATCAGTGGTCAGTTTAAAAAAACAAAACAAACTTAAAATATTTAAAAAAAATATTCATAATGAAGAAATATGTGACCAAATATAGATAGTTATTATGCAGAGGTTAGACAGATTCGACCACAATATCAAAAAGAAGACACTATGTCTGCTTTTGAAGAAATTGATAGCAAAATTTTGGAAGAAATAGTACAGCACCTTAAATCGTCAACCTGCTATCTTGACACACTTCCCACATATTTTTTCAAAAGGGTGCTTAACTGTTTGGAAGCAGATCTCTTAGAAGTGGTGAACGCCTCACTTCTTTCTGGGACTTTTACAAACTCCCTGAAAACTGCAGTTGTTAAACCACTTCTGAAAAAGAGCAATCTTGATAACACCATATTGAGCAACTATAGACCAATATCAAACCTTCCTTTTATAGGAAAGATTATTGAAAAGGTAGTCTTTCCTATAAAAGGAAGGTTTGATATTGGTCTATAGACCAATATCAAACCTTCCTTTTATAGGAAAGATTATTGAAAAGGTAGTCTTTAATCAGCTGAACAAATACTTAAACTCAAATGGATACCTGGACAATTTTCAATCTGGTTTCCGACAGCATCACGGCACAGAGACAGCGCTCATTAAGATAATAAATGATATTCGCTTAAATTCTGAATCTGGCAAAATATCAGTGCTGGTACTACTAGATCTCAGTGCTGCGTTTGACACTGTAGATCATAACATACTACTAGAGAGACTGGAAAACTGGGTTGGGCTTTCTGGGATGGTAATCAGCCTCACTGACCTTTAATCAGCCTCACTGACCTTTATCATATACATACAGTGACGTACACTGCGTAAACAAGAGACCGTGTGTTTTGAGTTTGAGCTCCGTCAAGTTAATTCTTTGTCGTCTAATTTTCTATTTTAAACAAATAAACTTGCCTTGCCTTGCCTAGTATCCCCTAAAATTAGAAAACATTTTAAATAATTAAATTGTTAATGTAATTATTTAATTTAAATTAAAAAACTAAAAAATGTTTTGTAAAGAAAGAACTTCATACTGGTTTGGAACAACATGAGGGCAAGTAAATAATGCCAGAATATCAATTTTTAGGTGAAATATCCTTTTAAGAAGTAGTATTTCTGTCAGTTATTGACAGTGCATTTTGCATCCTCTGTGCTTTTTGTTGTTAAAAAAAAATCTGTAAATATAGAAAATATAAAAACTAGAAACACATGGTCAAATATACACATTATCCCTTAAAAATGAAAGAACATTTATTAAAATTTGCAATTCCGCTGCATAATTTCCATCTTGAGAAGGCTGAGCTCATTTTAAAGTGGTCTGTTCAGCAATCTTAAAGAGTCTCCCCATTAATCATCAAACTAAAGTAGGAAATGTTCTTCCTCATGCTGCTGATAACTACAGAATGCTTTTCAGCAAGGCAAACAGAACATGAGGGAGCTGTAACAGAGTTCGAGAAGCCCGAGATATCGATACACTGACCAGCTGCAAGAAACTGTGCACTTCCTCCTGTTTCCACAACTCTTTATATTCTACACGCTTTTTTCAATCTGTCCCTTTAAATCATGGATATGATGACCACATACCCTTAAAAAGAGGATTCAGACTTGTCACATTTTCCAGTAAATATAATTGAATCTATCGGTCACCATTTGGCACTAAGTTCGTGGCACACCCTTGGGCCGCCCGGTGCATATTACAAACAGAATGTTTAAAGACTTCAGTCTAATTGGCTGACTTTATGCAATTTTCAGTAGGTTTTTTATCAAATTGGTGTTTACCAATGAACACATCTAAGGAGTCGCTGAACTAGCTGCTGGATTGCAAGATGCCAAGCGCTTATCAATCAATCTTTGGAAAATATTGGAGAATTTATTTTAGTCATAATAAGATGCAAACTGAAGCAGCCTGTAAGTCAACAGTCAAAAGTCTGGTGTAGAGAAACAAATGACAAATATACAGTATCAGTGACTTACTCTTTGTAAGAAGTTGATGTAGTGAACCTCTCTGGAGAAGTTGAAGTAGATGTTGGTGTCGTAGGCGTCGTCTCCAGCATTAGAGATGGTTAAATTTAACGAGACGTTTCTCACTCCACCAAGAGCCAGATGAGAACTGATGTACCGCCTGGGAAATGAGAGAAACGAGAAAAAAGTGAGACAAGGACAACATGATGAATCTCAAGAAACCTGTTGAGAATATAGGAAACCTGGCATTGTGTATTATGAATATTGTTAGATCTATCTATCTATCTATCTATCTCTTTAAATTATTACATTTAAATTACAAAAAATTACTATTACTGTAATGAGAATCACCACTGAGAATAATAATTAAAATAAAAAAATTATAAAAGTAAAATATCTGAATGTATTTCAGTAATGAAAATATTGCAATGCAAAAAATAAAAAAATGCATTGGTCCTAAAAATAGACTTAATTTTTCTGATACAAAATACACTGTCACAGAACATGAATGCTTGTTTTGTAGTCATTACAGTAAAATGTGTTTTAAATTAGTGAAATCACCATCCGCTCTTTAAACAGTGAAGGTTCAGCATTTAAGGAAACACTTTTGATTACAGAGAAACCAGATCATTCAGAACCAGACTGCAGGACCTCCTTCAGACCAGCTAATGAATGACGTCATGGGCTGGTGAGAGCCAAGTGTGTGTCCACGCCTACAGAGACTCAACCCTACTGACGTAAATTTGCTGAAACCATGAGAGGACCAGGGGCTTTACCCAGAAAGCAGCAGTTTCCCATGAAGCCTCAGGTCAGCTGCGCAGTCCTCTGACAGACAGTTCTTCTCAAACCACGTCTGTGAAGAGTCAAACAGAGCACATGATGTTTACATCACTTCATTGTCAGAATAACCCGAGACGGGACACTAATACTAGAGGGTGCTGTTGAGCAAGACTTCACACACTCGATGGGACTTTTTCCCAATGGCCTTTAAAGCTGTAGTATTTGAGTAGCGGTTTCAAGTGTAATGCACAAGAAAGTGCTGTGTGTTTGCGTTGGACAGATTCTGACATTGACACCTTTGCTTTAGCGCTACAGACAAACTGCACGGTTACTAATAGCCTCAGATTCCATCGTAATGGATTCCTGATGCGCTGAAAGATGCCAGTTCCGAGTTTCCTCAAGCTGAGAGGGAAAAGCATGTGGCCTAACAGGAGGGTGGGTTATGAAGTGGCGTGTTGGCAAATAAATTCATCAATCTTACACATTCCACTCACAAGAGTCAACAGCCATCATTGAGCGCTAACTAAAACCACATTTATAACCGGAGAAATTGGTAATTTCTGGCATTCAGAGCTGCTGGGTGATGCCAACGGCAAATGAGTACAAGAGTAAATTAAAATCATGTACTATATAAGACCATTGTAAAGATACTAAAATGTAAAAACAGGCAAAAAACTCAAATTATATAAACACAGAAATAAATGTACAAAATCTGACACTTTTAAACTGTAGTAATATGCACCATTTTGGTACTAATATGTATACTTTTTCTGCTAATGTGCACATTTAAGGTACTAACATGCACCCTAGGGGTAAATAAGATAAAAAGTAATTTAGACATGCAGTTAGATGATATTGGAAGTTGGGAGCTTATCATACTGAGCATCTACAAGGGCACAAGCACCTGTAACCCTGGTAGACAGAAATTTCTGTTCTATCCCTTTAACCTTATTCTGCTTCTCTGTTTGTGATCAAAAGCTGCTAAGCTTGAGGATTCAAACCTCATTCTTTGCAGCGATCTTCTCTCCTTTTTTCCAGCGTAGAACAGGAGTGAGCGAGGGAAGGTCGCGGTCCTGGTGTCCATCCACAAAGTGTTTTCCTAAACTGTAGGCTGCTTCAAACACGATGGCGGCAAACACATCCTTTACTTCTTTCTGTTAAAAAGCACAAAAATGGGAAAACGTGAAATAAACAATAAACAAAAAGCTGAAATGTGTCACTGTTACTGATATACAATTATAGTTTTTTGTTAACATTTTTATTTTTGTTACATTTTTAGTAATTTTATTATGTGTTTTTGTCTTTTTTAAACACATGTACTAAAACAATGAAATAACTGAAAATTAGAAATGTTGATTTGGCAAATAGCTGCAATAAAAAAAAAACGTTTGTTTTTATGGTTTTAGTTTCAGTTAATGATAATAACCCTGAAAATCTTTTGCAGAAGATGTACAGATCTGGTTATTTTTGTATTTTATTTGGTGCTGATACTGGCACAAAAACGACACTTTTCCTTTAAATAGACCGACATCACATCACATCCACTAATGTGTCAAAACACAAGCACAGACTGATATAAGTTTAGATGAATAGCCCATGTGACAAGTAGCTCACCCAATCGGTGGCTGTGTAACTGGCTTTGCACGGGCTAAAATCGCATTTGTGCTGAAAAGCTTTATAACCAAGGCTCTTTGCAAAGCTCCTCAAAGCTCTTGCTGGCTCGGTCAAGTGAACAGCGTGGCATTAAAGAGCCACCAAAAGCTATCGGATGAACATTTGGAAAAAGCTGGCACTGCCTTGCCCCAACACACTTCATCTTCCCTTATTTTGGAAATATGAGCCACGGCCCGAGGAGTGTTTCCTTTGGCACACCACTTGGAAACAGTCAAACGAAAGACTGAACAGGATCAAATCTCGACATCCTCATTAGAGGACACTAAAGAGGGAAGGACATTGGAAAAGCAGACCTTTTCTGTGCCCTCTTCTCCTCTCCTGACTATTAAACATCACTCACTTTCATCTGCACCACCAGGATAGAAAAGCGAAAATTTCTTCCCTTGAGTTTTATCACATGGTTTCCGTTTGTCCACCCACCCATCCCCTTCCTCAGCGACGCTGATTCAGGCCAATATTTTAACACATCGTGATACACTAGATAGGGCACATCCTGCCCTGCACCTTCACATGCTGATAGAGTTACTGCAGGAAACAGAGGTGCGGTGGCTGAATGGACAGGTTTTAGACTTATTTACACCATCAAATGGGGCATGTGTGTTTATTACACATGACAGAATGAAGACTATATTATAATCAAAGGAACAGTTCACCCAAATATGAAAATTCTGTGATCATTTACTTACTTATTAGAAACCTGTATGACTTTCTGCATGTTTGCCAAGCTTTTATTTAAAAAACATTTTGAATTTACCAATAAAAATGTATATTATATTGCTCTCTTAGCTCAAAATGGCAATAAATAAATAAATTAATTAATTAATAATATAGTATAGTATTAATATTTTGAATTAGCTTTTTGTTTTGTATTTTGAGTTTCTACTTTAATTTTACTTTAAGTTTACTTTAAGTTGTGCTTGTCACTTTTATAAGTTTTTTTTTTTTTTTATATTTCTATTTAGCTTTTATTTATTTATTTTTTATTTGATTTCAGTTTGAGAGAAGTTAGCTTATTTTCAGGCGCTACGTAATATCATTACACCTGCTGCTCCTTGATTATTACGACGGAATTAGAGTATAGTTACTAGCCATATCGGCCTAGAAAATCGCAACTTTTCCTTTTCCGTCGGTCCTTTAACCTTTTATTTCTGTTAGTTGCCAATAACATGCAAACAAACGAACAAATAAATAAATACTGTTTGTCAGGTTGGTTCATCTGAGAGAAAAAAAAAAAAAGTGAAAGTAAA